GGATGTATTTAGGGTTTAGGGTTTAGGGTTCGTTTAGGGCTTAGGGTTTAGGGTTCGTTTAGGGTTTAGGGTTTAGGCTGTATTTAGGGTTTAGGGTTTAGGGCATTAGGGTTTAGGGCTTAGGGTTTAAGGTTTAGGGTCTAGGGTTTGGGGTTTGGGGTTTAGGGTTTAGGGTTCAGGGTTTAGGGTTTAGGGTTTAGGGTTTCTTGGAATAGAGAAGCCCGAAGACGATGCCATAGGGTTCCATTATACTGATAAGTTCTACCGACTGTAACACACCACAACAACTTATTCCGATCATTAGGGACCCCCCCCCACTATTGGGGGCTTTGGGGTTTAGGGCGTAGGGTTTTAGGGTTGAGGGTGTAGGGCTCTAGTGTTGAGGGTCGAAGGTTTCAGAGGCAACATTTCGGGCTTCGGGACTTGAGGGTATCGTCTCCAGGGCAGGGGTTGAGGGTTTCGGCTGTCATATAGGGGCCTACATAATGATCATTATCATTTTGGGGGGCTCCTTATTGAAAATATAGCATAATGGGCCCCAAAACCCGAGCCTAATTATAAAGGTCCCTATATTAGGTCGTAGGGTGTCGGCTTGCCAGGGCTTTTGCCTCACAAGCGAGACCTCACTGTTGCTCTTCAAGGTGTGCGATTTCTTTTGTCTGTTCAGGATGCAGGGTTTGGTTTCGGGTCAGTTTGTAGGGTGTATATTGAGTTCAGAATTTCGAGCTCATGGTCGCGGGCTGCGAGAAAGGCCTCATACATTACTTGGAAGTAATTCGACCCGCGGTGACAAAAGGTTGGGCTCTAGAAACTTGGAGTCCTGGTCCGCAAGTTTCTGCTGCTTAGTTTTTGGCTTCAGGCGTAATACATAATGTCTTATCTAGGCCGCTAAGTAGAACTATTCCATGAGGCTCCTTAAACATCACGTCATGCCTCAAGCTGTCCCCGTGGTCTCATAATACCGGCCCCTATATAAGCTTTCGGCGTCACCCAATCGGCCTCGTATAGTTACCCTAAACCCTAAACCCTAAACCCCAAGGGATCGGAATGAGTTTGTTCAAACATTTCTCCTTCAGGTTCCTTGCTACGCCCATGCTACAACATACTCCCCAATCCCGATTCAACTCGAGAACGGGGGATGGTTCGATGTCCGATCCGCGAGTCGTCCAGAAGGGCTTTTAGAGTTTTGGGGTTTAGGGTTTAGGCTTCAGGGTTAGGTTTCTGATCGGGGTTATGTTGAGCTTACAGCGGACACATCGCTGCGGTACTCACCGCCACCATAATCTTTTCATAGCTCTCGGCATAGCTTCAGAAACAGGACATGTGATGCTGCCTCAATCGCGCATTTCTTCCGACAGGGCTCCAAAAGACCTTTACCAGTACCTTTCGCCACAATCCCTAAACCCTATGATACTACCCCGTAAACCCTAAACCCTAAACCTTATACTACTACTGCTCTCCTCCACTCCTGGGGTGCTACGATTTCAGGGGCCCCGCAGCCCAGGAGCCGAAGTGGCGCGAGTACCTTCCAGAGGCAGCCGCCAAGTACGATGCCTTCAAGGAGATGAAGAGGCCGGATCTCCCTTTGATCAAGTATGTATGTATACATATATATATATATGTATATATATATATACATATTTATATTTATATTTATGTATTTGTGTATCTCTATATATATATATATATTGTATTATGGTTGAACCAGTTGTCTATGTGTAATATGCGGTTGATGTGGTTGATGCCCTGACGTCCTTCTACTTGTTTTTGGAATTATCTTCTTCGTTTTTCGGCAGGGTGCCTTCTTATCTTAAGTGGGGAACAGGTACTCTTATTGATCAGGATGCTAGGACGCCTTAACGGGCTCTTCGAGGATCAGGGTTTAGCCGTTTGGGGTTTCAGGGGTGAGGGCTTTAGGGATTGGGTTTAGGGCTTAGGGTTTCTTAAGAGTGTTCAGGCTTTGATGATGAGGGCTGAAGCGCTAACACGTTTAGAGTCTAAGCTTGTGGGTCTACTTTGAGGTACTTAACATGGTCTGCACAAGCATGTTTGATGTTCCGGTATCAACTTCTGGCTTCGATTGATGCGTTTGAACGCCTTTGAGGTGGGTTTCGGGTCTACGCGAAACCGCAAAGCCCATGCACAGGGGCCCGACCTCTGTAGCAGTCTTATATAGGGGCCTTAGTGGTTCTCTATACTATTTTGGAGTTTCCTTATTATAGTAAAAGTATACTATGACCCAATTCTAACTATTAAGGCCCTTACATTAGAGCGCCTAGCCTCCGTTTAACCTCTGTTTGGGGTTAGGCTTTAACCTAAGGGTTTAGGGTGAATACAATCCTCTTCCCTGAATACGTATGCTTGTGGATCCCTGGCATGAAACCCTTAAGGAAACGGGGTTGCTCAACAAGGGGTTTATGTGAATTGGGGCTCAGATACCACAGCCAGGCAGTACAGCCGACGCCTACGTGGGGAGTTTGTGCAAGAGGGGAACCACAGTGCCGTGCTGCGCGGTCCCTCGGAGTTTGATTGAGGAAGGCTGTCCGAAGCCATCAGCCCTTGATCCTAAAAGTAAAAGGCTTATCCCAAACCCTGAACCCTAGCTACTAGATCCTGAACCCTCTGTCCTAAACCCTATAAACTTCAAGGATTAAAACCTAAACTTCAAGGAGTTGGGGCTTCAGGTTTCACACAATTGGAGCCCTGATCTGACCCGGACGTCGGAAAGCTGGAACCTGCACAAATACCTACACACTGAATTATTCCTAGGTCCTAGGTAGGGGGAGACACTTCTGGCTCTCTTAAAAGGGACCTTATTGCGAGGGTCCAGATCCCCGAAGGTCCCCCCTAATCCTACCTATAGTCTCCATTGTGGTTCTTTTTTTTGGTTTAAGTGTAGCACACTTGTGTGCG